CCCACACGCGCGCGCACCCACACGCGCGCTCACCCACACGACGCGCGCGCACCCACACGACGCGCGCGCACCCACACGACGCGCGCGCACCCACACGCGCGCGCACCCACACGCGCGCGCACCCACACGCGCGCGCACCCACACGCGCGCGCACCCACAGGCGCGCACCCACACGCGCGCACTCACACGCGCGCACCTACACGCGCGCACCTACACGCGCGCACCCATATACGCGCGCACCCATATACGCGCGCACCCATACGCGCGCACCCATACGCCCGCACCCACACGCGCGCACCCACACGCGCGCACCCACACGCGCGCACCCACACGCGCGCACCCACACGCGCGCACCCACACGCGCGCACCCACACGCGCGCACCCACACGTGCGCACCCACGCGCGCGCACCCACGCGCGCGATAACACCCCACGCGCGCGCACCACGCGCGCGCACCCACGCTGCGCGCACCCCCGCGCGCGCACCCACGCGCGCGCACCCACGCGCGCGCACCCACGCGTGCACCCACGCGCGCACCCACACGCACACGCACACACGCACTCACGCACTCACGCACTCACGGACACCCACACGCACTGCGCGTGCGCGTGCGGGTGCACGCGCACTCGCACGCTCACGCGCACGCGCGCGCGCGCGCGCGCGCACGCGCACACGCACACGCACACGCACACCCACACGCACCCTCACACGCGCACGCACACGCACCCTCACACGCACACGCACACGCACACCCACACCCACACGCACACGCACACGCACACGCACACCCACACCTACAGCCACACCCACATTCACACCCACACCCACACCCACACCCACACCCACACCCACACCCACACCCACCACCCACACCACCGCACCCGCACCCGCACCCGCACCCGACATGCACCCACCCCCCCAACCACACCCACCACCCACACCCGCACTGCACCCGCACCACAACCCCACCCACACCCACACCCGGCACCCGCACCCGCACCGCCCCGCACCCCGCACCCCGCACCCCACACCCACACACCCATACCCACCCACCCACCCACCCACCCACCATGCACGCATGCACGCACGCACGCACACGCAGAGCCCGCGTACAGAACCTGCAGGACCTACGCTGCTGCATATGATGGCATTTCTTCCCTGAGACAGGAGGAGTCACAGAGAGGTTTCCAGAATCGCGAGGTAGCCCTCAATAGATGAGCTTGGCACTGAGCCCATGCATCACACTTTTATGCCCCTCAACTGCACAACGCGCACGCGCACGCACTCAACCTTTTTTGCGACCTTCTGATTTCGGCGTTGTTGCCCAAGCTGTGGCTTCTTCGCTGTCTACCGGCTCGTTTTTCGGTGATTAGGTTGGGTGTCTGTAGCTTCGTTAGAAGACACAAGTCATGTGCTGGGAATGCTACATGTTTTCCTGAAGCAGAGGGCTTCCTCAGACTCTGGAATTGCCTCTGAGCTGCCCTGACTTCGTTGCATGACTGAGGACATTTATCGGGCCTTGTGCCATGGCCAGGCGACGGGATCATTGGGCATCAAGTAGCTGTGCTCGGAAGTTTGATGAAGTTTGTCTGAGTGCAGTGCAGGCCTTGAGCAACAATGAGAGTGCGGTGGAGTTCTGGTTGTCGAAGCTGAAGGTGGCAATCTACTTGCCTTTTTTTTTTTAACAAGACCGGTCATGACCCACCTTGATCGGCCGATCAGTCCCAAACTAAATCTCTTTGATCAGCCCCGAAAAACAAATCAGACCCTATGTTGTCTGGTAATGTCTGGTAAGCAGAGGGGAGGAAGCCTGACTTAGACATGTCTCAACGTGCTTCGTCATGTTTGAGACGTGTGTACCAGATTCGTGACCAGGGCGCGGAGATGGAGCTGGCGCCGTTTCGCTTGATGCCGGGGTAGTAGCAGCTGCTCCAAGCAGGCTGGCGAGGAATTGAACAGTGCTTCAAGCGAGGTCGTATCATCGAGCAGCAGAGGGCGCCGCGGAAGCATCCGAGGCAAGGGAGGACAGTAGAAGTCGGATGTCACAGAATTTTCCCCAAACAGGTACGGTTTGGGGTTCTCTCCTCAGAAAGAAGGTGGTCCGGGGGTCGGATGGGTGGGCCGCGGCGACCGAACAAGCACGGCAGATTTCCCATCTGTCCCATGCGACAGCCACGTCGCTTGTTTCCCGCGCTTGCGCCGCGCTTGTATGGCATTGTATGGTTTCTGGCACACACATCTCGGCTCGTGGATATTTTTCGACACATTCTGTTTGGGGTCTTGGTTGGCTGAGCATGATGGGGCAGCACCCGGTGAGGCTTGGTTGGAGCGCGCCCGTGAGTCTGCCCTGGAGCCTGATGTCGCTTGCTACAATGAGGCGTGCTGGGGATCTCTTCCACAGACCATGTTTGCTGTACCTTATGCCTTATGCTTGCTACCTTCAGCCTCAACATGCCAGGTACTGGCAGCATATGTCCGCCCAGCCAAGGCGCTGCTGCGTGATAGGTATAGCGAATTGTGTACACGCACCAGAAGCAAGGCTCAGCAAGAGCACCCATCCATTGCCATCATTGCTGGTGTCACAGTCGTGGCAGCCTCCCTGTAGTGAAGCATGCACTAGAGATGCACAAGGAGGACGCAGGGGAATCCGCCTAAGCCAAGTTCGGTTTGAGGAGCTCACGCAGTGTTCACTTGCTTCCGGCAGCAGCAAAAGCAACGCCAAGTTTATTCACGGTATTGATTTTCCAAAAAAAGCAAACGTTGCCTGTGTGTTCGAGTATCGGACTGGTATACGAAGACATGTAAAACGAGTTTTATTCAAATTCTGTTGGACCCGTTGCTCATTGCCTTGGGTTCCGATGACCAGGGCTGCGCAACCGAATGGACACTGCCTGCGAAGCGAGCAGATGGAGCTTGGAGGTGGATCACCAGAAGCATCTTGCTGTTCCTGCTGCATGATGCTGCGCTCTGCGAGAGTAGCATTCAGTTTGGCACTCCTTCGAAATCGAACAGCAGAATGCTGCGTTTCTTTGTTCAGGTGCTTGAAGCAAATGCTTTGCCAGGTGCACTCCTTAAGTATTCTTGCTGTCCACTGCTGATCGAAGAAGCTTTCCCCGTTCCGACGCGTAAGGCCGTGAAGCCAGATGCTGGATCCTACAGGTCTGGGTCCGGGAGTGGGAGAGTTGCATACAGAAGGTTACAGTATAGGTTACAGTATAGGTTACAGTAGGTTACAGTAGGTTACAGTAGGTTACAGTAGGTTACAGTAGGTTACAGTAGGCTCTATGCCCCAGCCGTGCAGGTCGGTGCTGCGTGGCTTTGCGCGTGCAGGGCTTGCGAGGCTTGGCTCTCGACGCTGCTCACAGAAATGAGCCGCGGGCTGTTCTGAAGTGTCCTTTCTTTCATAGATACTTGCGACAATCTGAGAATTCGATTCCCTTCCCCCCGGTGAACAGCCCTGTCCAGCCTTGAGCTTTCGAATTTAGAAGCCGTCGTGCAACGACAGTGCAGCATGCCTCCGGCCAGGAGAAGTGCGGATTGGATGCAGCATATGTTGGACACAAAGGTGACTGTCGATGAATCCTGTTGCTTGCCTCTTCTGCTAGTTGCAGCACTACCAATGGTTCGTGCACGCTTGCAACACCTGTTGTGTCTAAGGTTACAACTCACTCCTTTGTGATGCTGCCGTGTTTGCCGCATCTGGACAGTTTTGTAACCTCTGTGCGCAAGGGGGTGGAAGCTTGCTCGACAGCTTGGCATCAGCTCGACTTGCATCTTGATCGTTCGAGATAGTGAAATACATTCTTGCTCTGCTTGGATTCAGTCCTCGTTTGGGGAAAGTCGCTTCTTCGCGCATCTCTTCAGCATCTCTTAAGAGTCATCATACGGGCATGTCAGACTCCTGAGACCCGCCGCCCTCGCAAAACCTCCCTCCTAACCATCCATGTTGAAAGTTCAAGGTTCGGGTTTTCAGCATTACCAGTAGGGTTTCAAGTGAGACAATGGCAGAGTGCCTCCCGCACCTGAACGATTGATCCATGTGCTGGTTTGCCTGCAGCACCGCGGCTCGATCCGCTGCTGTAAGATCTTCCAACCCGCTGAGCTCACCCGGAAGTTCTAGCATGCCCAGTACAAAAACGCGTGCCACTTAAGAGTTGGCTGTCTTTTGTTGACTTAATGCCGGCTACTGGTAGGGGGACTGCTCGCCTGTGAGCTGTAAACTTTTGTGTAAGCTGCATTGGTTGGGGTGACACGAGCCTCGGGCTAGCATCCCGTTTGTCCTCGGATGCCGCGTGCAAAGACCCCTTGAATCCCTTTTCAGCCACAAGCTCAGGCGTTTCCTTTTCGAATTCTCTTGGGACATCTTGAGAGGACTTTGGAGTGAACCGAGAGCTCAGGCGTGATGCAAGGATGGCCAGGCCAGCCTTCCGGCTTACGCGGTGCACAGGCTTGGGACGTAGGGTTGGTGGACGGCCGTTCTGGACCACAGCCCCTGGCAGGCTGCCAACTTGCCGTTAGCGTTCCAGGCCAGGCCTCACCTCGTGCACACAAGCTTCCGCAACAGTCGTGCGTAAGAACGGCTTCTACGAAGAATGCTCCCTCCATCGATGTGGATTGCTTTTCGCCGCATGGTACTGTGCCCAACATGAGAGCTAAAAGGATGACGTTGAAGCTTACACGCAGAATTGTCAGATTTTTGAACTTTGCCAGCCTTCGCAAGGCCATGGCAGCAGATGCGGCTGAGGACGAATCGTTGCCAGCACAGTAAAAGGGTGTGCACGTGTGTGCACTCCCCAATCTAGGAGGCCCAAAGAAAGCAGTGGTGCTTCTTGCCACGGCGAGGAGCAAGAGCCGTCTTCAAAACGCCAAAGGTCGCAGGCCAGTGTAGACTACTGTCGCTCCTTTTGAGCTTGGTCACATTCCGGTCGCAATCCCGTGGATCTGCCCGATCTTCCGCACACCTGGATGATGGCATGATGTTGCCGACAAGCCTTGGCATCCCTGTGGGGTTTGTGGCAGGACAACGCAGAAATGTTTCCCTGTCAAGGAGGGTGGCCAGGCCTGGACCGATGTACCTGACCATGACTTGCTCGAGGGAGCTTCGTTGCCATGTCTGGCAGCCCAGCGGGGCTGGCATTCGCTGTGTCAGGTGCTTTTGGTGAGGGCTGCGGTGGCTCGCCGACATCTCAGATCCGGACAAAGTTGCACTCGTCTTTGGCACGAGCGTATGAGTATCACTCCAACTGGGCAGGTGCGGAAGTGGCTATGGCGGTGCGAGTAGCAGCTGCTCAGGCAGCAGACCTTACCGCTGCAAAGCCCGCACAATCAAAGCTGCCGCTGCTAGAAGTTTGTGCTGTCCTTCGTGCTTTGGCAGGTGCTGGTGGATTGGATCCCATGGCAGGCTCTTGTGCAGACCTTCAGTCCTTTGAACCCTTGCTGCCGCATCTTGCCACGAAGGCTGCGCATGTTCTGGACTGGGGTGGGGCCGCAGCCTTTACGTTCTTTTCACTTCGACTTGGGGAAACAAGTCGTTATAGAGCATCGACCCCAAAAGGGCCCACAGCTTTTGGATCCCGCCATGGTCAGGCGTCCTCTACTAGTAGCGGTATCTAGCTTTAGGGAGCCCACGTGCCAAGTCGCATTTGTTGAGGTGCCTGCGGCGGCATGAACCCAATACAACTGGATTCTTGATTGCACTCAGCACATGCCAGTGATTGAAGATACTTGTGCTTCAGTGTCTTCAGAGAAAAGGCCCAGATGCAGCAGATGGCCCAAATGGCAATGGCAGCCTTTGCAACGAAGGCCAAAGAACTCAACGGCCAAGAGAGCTGTGTTCAAAATCTTCGGTTTGCCTCAGGCTCCTGACTGGAAGGAGGATTCTGCCCCCGAGAACCCTCATGTGGAGGAGAGATACTACGGTCCCCCGGCGGAACATGTGCTTGTGCAGAGTCGGAAACTATGGGGGTCGAGACTGCACTGACTGCACTGGATGAGACCAAGAGGCGTGATTCGTGACTACAACGAGAGTCAAGTCAGGGCCTCGAGACAGTTCGCTTGTGCTTGGCCCGCTTGGGGGGTTCAAGAGCATCCTTCGCGCCTTTTTCTTCGTTCCCCTCTTGGTTCCCAGGGCTTCGGCTTCATAGAGTGTGAAGATGCGAAGTGGAGATACGGAATGGATGTTTTCATTCACAGGCCAAGCGCTTGATTTGTACTTGGTTCTCTTGGCAGCTCATGCTCCTTTCTGCCATTCCCTCGCAGGCGTCAGATGTTTGGCTTGGCCAAGGGAGACGAGGCTCCATCTTGTCTGTTCACATTTTTTTAAAACACCTTCCGAGCCTGCGCGCGCAGCTTCTGGCTTGGCAGTTCCCTGTTGCCAGGTTAGTTTCGTGATTGTGCGAAACTCCCAAGGCTCCTCAGCGTGACTCCGTTTGTCAATCGCCTTCAAAACTGACGTTGCTGGCTTTCATGTGCAGGTCAGCCTCAAGCTAGGCATGTCATCAAAAAGGAGGCTCGGCGCCGAACACTGGAGAGTGTAACTAGTGACGACACCTGCGGGGGCACAACTAAAGTAACTAAAGGCAGCTCAAGGAAGTTTTAGGCCCCAATAGCAGCTTGAGGCACCCGCTCTTCCCTTTGCTTCACCTCAACATCAGACAACATCAGTGGATATCTTCTCCAAGAAGCCTCCTCCTGCATCCTGGAAGGAGACGGCCCGTATACTGGAAAAGCGGAAGGATCGGGAGAAGCGAGAGGCCGTGAACGTCATGATGCATGATGTTTTCTTGAAAGGAAGAAGACCGCTGCTGCTCCAAACTCCAAAACCCTAAGCGCTACACCCAGCGTGGGCTGTGCTTTCGACAGGCTGAGAAGTTGCAAGCCAAAAAGCAGGCCACGCATTCCTAGTCGTGGACCCCTGCCCTGGATGTCTAGGATCAACGCTAGCCATTGCAGACGTTCCGTTCACCTACACTCCAAGCAACAGCCGAAGAGCCTCCCCCATTCTGTTAGGCCTCAGAGAAGGCTCAGAGCTTAGAGTGAATCCAATCATGCATCAGCGACATGACATCGACATGAGTGACCAGCATCAATTTGCCCAGGTTTTTACCCCCAGCACGATGGAAGGCAAGGTCATGTCTGAGGAGGAGGCGAGAAGATTCCAAAAGTCCTTGAAACGGGGCAGATGACAGCTGCCTGACTGCACCGGGTGCAACAGAGAGTTATCTGCCGCAGAGTGATGCCTCTAGGACGCACGTTATCAGTTGCGAAGCCAAGGCCAATGAGTCTTTGGCCTCATAATCGCACAAAGACGTGCGGAGTGTGAGACCGAATGCTGGAAAGCTCTAGCGAAAAAAAAGATTTGCAGCTCGGTTGCGCTTTGAATTGAGAATGAATTCTCAGCTCATTTGGTGCCAGGCAGTCTGGCGCGAGCTCGCGAGGCTTCCTTAGCATCTAACTGGCTGCAGAGGTGCCTTGGGCAAAGACCATTCTTGACGCCGCCTTTGCGTTGCGTTCTGAAGGATGCTGGTTGCCAAGCTCAAAGCAGATGAGGCGAGAGAGCCATGGGACATGCCGCATGCCTGGGGTTGGCGGAGGTTGGCAGGGTCAAAGTGGGCAAAAAGCTGAGGAAATCTATCTAATGGCTAAAGTGGCAATGAGAGCAGTAACGAGACATTGTGCTACCCAGTCTGTTGTTGCTTGGCAATCTGATGTTGATCGATTTGTTCGAAGCGATTCCATGGTTTTCTGTTGCAAGCAAGCTTTTGACCATGCCCCATCATGTCGCTTACATTTGTCGAATTCCACTCCTGGTCGCCTGCTCACTTGCCTGCGGTGACACCGGTCTTGCATCGTCTTCACTATCATTGTCAATTTCACCATCTATCACATCATCATGGTCGTCATCATCATCATCATCATCAGCATCAGCATCAGCATCAGCATCAGCATCAGCATCAGCATCATCATCTTCGTCAAGCCCCCAGTTGCAAAAGCGCCCATGAGATTGATGATGCAGGAGGAAGCCACTATGGAAAAGCACATCATCAAAGGAAACGTGTAGATAACTTATGTCAGTACCCGCTGGACTTTTTGATAACCAGCAGCTGCATGATGTGTCTGAAAAGGGTGCACCGCCTCTCCAATGCCTCGTGATGTCTTCAGCACTTCGCTGTACTGCTTCAAGAGAGTGACATGCAGAAGGTCGCATTCGATGCAGTGGTCTCGTCCCATTTGGGCAATTGCAACTGGAAGCAGGCTGATGCTTTCTTGCAATGTCAATATGACGTCGTGTGAAGTGGGATGAACTTAGGCTGGCCATTGGCTGAAGCAAATGGTCGTCCGGGATCTCACACCCGTGAGGACGCCCATGGCTCCGTAAGCTGCGACTGCACATCCTGAAAGCATGTGCGGCTGTGATCTAGCCATATCATGCGATTCAAAAAGTCCGGTATGCGCGCGCCCGCAAACACAGGTGTGTAACAGAGGAGAGTGGTGGGGGGGAGGGGGGGAAAGCATGGACACTTTGCGTAGGGAATCAGTGAACAGGGTCCCGAATCTTTTTCCGAAGGGTGGGTTGCGCCCTTGCAGGGAGCCAGCATTTGTAGCAGATTGGAGCAGCATCTGATTTTGTTAGCTTAGCCTACGGGCCTAGTGTTCAGGACCCACTACAACGAGCTCATAGGCCAAGCTGTTCAAGAAGGAGGGTTGGAGAAGGCGCCGCTTCGTGCCTCTCTCCAATCGACGGCTGTTCAACAGTTGCTGTTTAATTGCAGGCTTACTCATGGTTGACACTGATGAAGGACCGGGCTCTGCATGCGTGGACATGCTTTTGCTCATTTCCGTGCCACGAAATGATGCTTAATCATGTGCAGCGGATTCTAGCAAAGACGGCGTGGCTACTTTCGGCTTTCAGGGTGCTGTCTTTCTACTTGACCCAGCTTTCATTGTGATCATGTCGGCGCGCCCGCGGCATGAAAACCAACAGTGCGCGAGGCGGTCGCGCTTGAAGCAATTTGTCCCTGCACTGGCATTCGGTCTGCTGGCATGTGGGGCCATCGGGCCATCCTGGGTACTGTCCCCTGTCCCACAGACTAACAGACCCTGCAAACCCAGATACTTAATGACAGGCAGCTCGAGGGTGCCACAGACCCTCAGGCCGTCACACATTTCGGTGAAAGCCACTGGGAAGGAGCTGGACACCGATGCTGTGGGAAAGTATGCCTTATCGATCGCAGTCCAGCTGCTTGGAATCACGACCTTCTTTGCGGCTATTGATACGGCAGTGAAGTCCTCGGGCATTGAGCTGCCTGACTGGGCCGTCTTCGCTCTGTTCTTTGGCATGAGCTTGCGCTCGAGAATCTTTTCGCCTTTGGACAATTCCCGGCCTGACATTCAGAAGGCTACGCAAGGACAGGCCACAGGAGGCTTCAACGATCGAACCATGCCAAGTTGGACGCCTCCAGGATTCTTTTTTCCTATCATGTGGATTCTCATTGTGGCTCCCCTTCGCGCGGCATCCTCAATGATGATTTGGCAACAGGTTGGACACCTGTGCGACGCAACAATTCTCGTGCTCATGCTTCACTTGTGCGTGGGGGATACCTGGAACACGGTGAATAATGTAGAGCGACGATTAGGTGCGGCGGTGCCAGGGGTTCTCTGTGTTTGGGCCTCAGCGCTTGCCGCAAGCTACGCGTACTTTCAGGTGGAACCCTTTGCTGGGCAGCTCCTGTTGCCTACTTGCTTGTGGTTGACAGTAGCAGCTGCTTTGGTAGCCGACACATGGCGTGTGAACAACTCATCCGGTACAGAGCCGCTTTTTCCATACAGGGGGGCGACCCAAACCAAGTTCTGGTTCTCCACGGAGTGAGATTGGTGCGTGAGACCAGAAATGTCTTCCCGAGTTGGGAGAGCTGCCATCACAGCGCTACGATGTATCATTCTGTAGCCACTGTCATTTCTCTTTCTGCGATTGCACTGCAAGTCACATGCCTCAGAATCGGGCAGGCCACCCCTCCATCCTTGCCGGATCTGGTTTCCTACCACCACCTCATCAGTGGTGCTGCGGCACGGGGCAAGGAGAGAGAAGCTGCCCGCAGCCCAGTGGATGTATTTAACAAAGTTCGGCTTCGGTGCAGCTTGGACTTGAGGCAGACTGGTACGTGGAGATGCGGCAGGCTCTTCTGAGACCCGATCCAATCATCTTCACCGACGTGATCCATGGCTTCGCAAGTGCGCCTCCCGCATTCCAAATCTTTGCTCAGCACTTTTTCGCTCTTCTGCATCGCAAAGTCAGCGTTCTTTGCCAGGGAGCGGGGCTCATGAAGCTGCGGCAAATTGGCTCCATCGCATGGTCCAACTCTGATGTTTGAGATCCGCTCCAAATCTTTGCTATGTTGAGTTCACAGTATTCACAGCTTTCGTCAGCTCTCCTTACCCGAGAGGTTGATGAGTCGGTGCACCCCACGGTGGCCGCCTACAATGCTCTCATCTCTGCTTGTGCCAGGAACTGCCAGACTTTTGAGTCAGCTTCTCCAGCAGACTTTGCTGCAGAACTGCTGTGGTATGGGCAGGCAGGGTGATTTGCGACGCGCACGGTGCTGCGCTTACCTACACACGCCAGCTACACACGTGTTGCAGCCGCAGCCTCGAGTCGCATCGGCTTTTGTTTAAGGCAGTGGTTTGAGCAGCTGCCCGCGCAACGGCTTCAGCCCACAACCTATGCGTTGATTCCAAATGCCATGACGCAGGTATTCTCTGCACATCTCGCAGTAGTTTCAAGCATCACTGTCATCAAGGTTAGCTTTGCTTTGTCTTTAGGCCTTTAGGCTTTAGGTCCTCGTGAGTGCCAGTCTCTCTCAGGCCCGATGAGATCTCCTACAAGGCTCTGATTCGTGGCTGCTGCTTGCTGGATGAGCCAACAGAGCCACTTCCTAAGAATGATGCAAAATACAGAGATGGTACGAACCCACCGGCAGGGTACTTATGCTTTTCCATCAGTGCTTGATATGACTCTGCTTGTGTGTGGCTGTGTAACCTTTTCTGGGGAAGCCTCTTTCGGGCATCGTCGTGCCCATGTTGGCTCTGAAACCACTTCGAGGCCCAGAATTCTCGTCACCTGGAGTTCCAGGTTCAAGGAACCAAACAGACTGGAAATGGATCTATCGAAAGACTGAAGAGTAGAGTCGGCCAGCTCGCGGAACAAGTACGCAGCCTGCCCTGATCTAAACGAGAAGTGCGCCTGTGCAGGCTTGGCCCTGAAATCCGAAGGGGGGGGAGAGAAAAGGTGAGCAACCTTTGACACAAGCTATACTAATAGTATCCCTGAGCACTCAGAAGGAGAACCCAAAGAGTGTAAAGGGAGTGGGCAAAACCCGGATGCGCCTTCCACTGTTTTCGGTTCCGGATCTGCCAGGGCCTTTCGTAAGAAATGTACGCAAACGCGCAGAATAAAGAACCACTCGTCTTTCAGTGTTGCACAGTTGTTTTTGCTAACGCCCTACCAATTGACCCGCGGGTTTTGCTTGTTTTCAAGTCTTTTGGAGTTCTTGCCATGTGTCTTCAGGTCTTTTCGCGTTGTTGCCGCATGTCTTTTGGCGTTTCTTTGGAGTTCGTGCCAGATGGGTGGGGGGGGGGGGTGGGGATAAGAACGTCATTCATATTGCATGCATACCCAAAACACTGGTATTTACAGCGTTTTCACCTCTTCGTACAACATACTGCACAAGGATGTGGAAGAAGAAAATCTGTCAACAGTCTGAGCCCAAACCTGTCCTGCACCCTCAAGCCTTCATTCACCACCCCAACCACTGCAAGCCCAAAGAAAGCCAGTAGCCATTCCAGCCTCAGCCCGAATCTCAACAGTACCCCTTAACCCTTAACCCTAAACCCTCAACCCCAAACCCGCAACCCTAAACCCTAAACCCTAAACCCTGTACCCTAAACCCTAAACCCGAAACCCTAAGCCCTCAACCCTAAACCCTAAACCCTATCAACCCTAAACCCTATAAACCCTAAGCCCTGCAACCCAAACCCAAAACATCGACTCGCGAGCTTACAGAAGCTGGTTGAGGGTTTGGGGTTTAGGGTCTGCAGGATTTTCGGACCTAAGGGCTTGAGAAGCGAAGGGCTTTGGGGCTTAAGTGCTCAGGGGTCTCTATAGGAAAGGCTTCAGGGCTTTAAGCCATGAAGCCCTAAACCCGAAACCCTAAGCCCAGGCCCTCAACCCTAAACCCGAAGCAGTGCAAGCCCAAACGTGTCATGCACCCTCAATCCTCAACCCAAAGCACCAAGCAGTGTAAGCCAGAAGTGTCATGCACCCTCAATCCTCAAACCAAAGCCCGAAGCAGTGCAAGACCAGAAGTGCCCTGCACTCTGAGCTTTCTACAAAACACCGAAACGCTAGCACCGCTCGAGAAAAAACACATTTTTCAATCGACAACACTATGACGTTTTCAAGGAACCACATACGAATACCATTTTTCTCCTGTCTCAAAAGGATTCCCCAGAACAGACCTTGTCAAACCCAACTGCGCGTTTTTCCGAGGAAAAAATACCATTCTGCCCTGTCCTTCCCCACACGCCCCCCCCAAAAAAAAAACAACTAAGCCCCGGAAGCTCCGGAGACGCTACTTTAACTTAAAAAATAAAAAACCCCATTTTATCCGCAAACCCGTGAAAACCTGTTTACGCGCGACCGTGACATGTAACACCAAAACGTGCTTTTCGCCTGGGAAAAACCACTAAAAAAAGGCTTCCCACAACCGCAAACTCGACAAAACATTCGCTCCAAACGTTCGGACGGTGCGCGACATTGGCCCCTGCTATCGAAACAATGTCATGCAGAAATCGTGCTTTTGCCTCGACAAAACTAACAAAACAACCCAAAAAACCAGCCTGCTACGGCGCGGGTCGTTTCGCGGGG